CACACTAGTCCACATCTTGGATGTGTTTAAAAGCCAGACAGAAATTTAACTGGGAAAACATTAAGTATTCTTGACACAATGAGACAATTAACTAAATAGGCAACATTATAATCAATGTTTGCGGCCAGAAGAGCTACACAAAGTTCTTTATTCCAGGCAACTATTCAGGAATGTGATTTATAGGAAATTAAGTTTCCCCAAATGGAAGGCAGACCTATGTAGCTAAAATGTCATAGGCCCCCATGTCCATGCAAGCAAAGCCCAAACTGAGTTGAATCTGGAAAAAAATTCCCAACCCTTGATCACAATTAGTTTTTAATTAAGATCGTTGACTGCAGCCACTTTTCTAAATAACTCAAATTTACAAAACAAGGTTCAGTATTAAAGAAAATAGTGTGGCTATCCTACATGGTAAATGGGGGTGAAGTGGCCACAGTACACCTACTAGAAACCAGAGTAGCTCTTTCTTCTCTAACTTGCTTCTTCTGCAAGTGCTGTATCTCTTCAAGAGAACAGCCTCCCACCCATCACATCTTTATCAGAACCTGAAACCCCCATTTCTAGAACATTGGCTGGTGTATTCTTGGAGCTTAAGTCCAGGTCACTCACTTTTTAAAGTTCTCACCCCAGTGCAGACTGAGTCTCAACAGAAGGGAGTCAGTACTGACCCTTGAAAGAGCATCCTGTGTCAACAGAACCCCCACTTGAAATAGTTTAATATTACTCGCATTCATGTGGAGGCTCCTTTGAGTAGTACTCTTCATTATTTGCACTAGTTTTCAAATTTAGGAACTCCACAATGCATGTTCATTCTAACTAAAATGATTTCCACAGAATTGTCAGAAACAGAAGTTGTGAGCCACCCGGACAGCTTGATTCTAACGTTTACTTTCTCCCACACTTCACTCCAGAAACTGCAACGGTTTTATTAGATTAGTTCATTCTGCTGATGAAAACAATAATGACATTGTGAGTTTATCATTACCTGTCGCATCATACATTGTAGAAGTCCCCGCATCAGTTTCACTACATTCTGTGAAAATATAAGGGAGCAAAGAGGGTAATCAATTATTATCTATTATAGTATTTGTATCAGATATTCTAAGCCAAAATTTAATTATCAGCGTTTAAGTTTACAGAATTAACCTTCCATAAATTAAATGCAATTCCTAGTCCAAATTAGAGTAGACTTACATAATGAATTGCTGATCTTGTATGTCCTATTGATTGTTGAAGGGGCCATTCAATTTAGAGAGCAATTGAATTCAACCATTGCTGCTTAACAACACAACTTGTTCATTTGAGGAATCCAACATTTTGATACTACAACAGTGTCACCACTTTACTGTTAAAGTCAATGAGTTGCCATTAAATTAAATAATACTAAGGCCTTAACAGTATCATTCCTGAACCAGAAGAAACCATTTTCCTCCGAAGACACACTCAGAGCAGCTGTATCCCATTTCTATTACACTGGGAAATTGTGTATGGAGTGATGCTGCTGAAATTCAGAAATAAGGAGGTAAACACAGTTCAGAATGTCCAAGTGAATTACATGCTAAGTGTCAGCCCATTCTGATGCTCATGTTTCGCTTGTAATTATTCATCCCAAATACCAACCCTGGCCCTCCCTGCCTCCTGACACATGTTTTTTGATGCTGGTAAAGACTGTGGGTGGGAATCCTTTCAGCCTTGGGCCAAGTTCAATTTCAGGTAGGTTCTGAGGAGCTTTATCCCAATGATAGATAAAAATGGTGGAGCAAAAAAAACAACAACCCAACATTGTTTATTTTAACACTTTTACAGCCACTGACTAAGACTTTTAAGAAATATTTTAATCTTTTACGATGGGGGAAAACCTGTATCAAAAGTAGGAAGCCATTGACTAATGGAGTCACAGGGAAGGTTCCCAAGATGACTAAATTTGGCTCCTGGGAAGCTTGGATTCAGCCTTAGGCCTGAGGTGCCTCACTCCTCATGTAGACCAAGTAATAAGTAGATTATCTATAATAAAAGGTTGTCCTTAGATTATTTAGCAAGAAAGTAAATCCATGATCATACCTGCTCTAATTCATATGCTTTAGCTTTATCTTCATCCCGGTCTGCATTCTTTCTGTAGGCCATTCCTAGGCCCCACACAGCCAAAATGCTATATACATTATCCCGAACCCAAGCATCCTTTTGCTCCGTGCTGGCAGACAGGAGTCCCGTGACTGGGTTCTTTAAAATAAACAATAAGAAAAATAAATGAATAGAAGCACACAAAGAGAAAGCTTATCAGCCTCTTATTTTAACACTTTTGTGTTAAAATAAGAAGTTGAAATATTGATAGTTTAACACTATCAATATTTCTATAATGGATAAAAACCTGAGCTGTGAACTAGGTCATCTTGACCATGAATTCAGATGGCTTTAGGTAAGCTACCTGCCTATATCCCATCTATACATGAAATAATATTGATCTACAAGAGAGTATAGTTGTTAACAATTGTTGAGATACTGGCAGAAATCCTGATGTGTAGCTCTGCAGATGTAACTCAACGTTACGCCCATGGTAGCTACGACAGTGTCCAAGAGGAAATGCTATCAAGGAAACATTTCAGCCGGTGCATTACGCAATTGGCCACAATGGGAACTCTGCAAACTTCTGTGTGGTCAAATTGCACAATCTGTCTTGCCTGTGCTTAATATCCATCAAAATATGCCTGTGTAACTTTGTTACCAACAAACTGGATTTCTGGCGGGTGTATCTGAAACTCTTTGAACATCTGAAGTAAAATATTTGGCTGTTCACTCTGCCCCACCCACCCTCGCCTTAGCTGGGATAGTGGGGCTAAGGACTGTAGCAGCAACATCCAGAGGCTCAGGAATCGGATTGAGATGCAAAATGGGGTTTATTGCAGGACTGACAGTCTCCATATCAGGGTTCACCTCACTTTCCATGGTCCATTCCTGGGTTTAGTTCCCTTCACTAGCCCAGGGGTCTCGTTGTCTCTCCAACAGCCCCTGGTTAACTCCAGTGGTGTCAGCACAATTCACAATCCTAGTCATACAAGTTGCTCCCTTCAAGGAGGGCTTGTACTGTACTGATGAGCAGCCATGGTGCTACAGGTCTGCCAGACTTCTCTTGGAGACATTACTGTCTTGCCTTTTGACATTTGTGTCTCAGGTGAAATGTTACATGACAATTGTCCTGCGTTGTTATCGCTGATACAAAAAGCAAAGCGTGCTGCTTATATACCGCCCCATAGGACTTAAAGCCCTCTCTGGCTGGTTTACAAGTTTATTATGCAGGCTACACATTGCCTCCCCAGCAAGCTGGGTACTCATTTTACCAACCTCGGAAGGATAGAAGGCTGAGTCAACCTTGAGCCAGCTACCTGGGATTGAACCCCAGGTCGTGAGCACAGTTTTAGCTGCAGTAGAGCAGTTTAATCACTGTGCCACGAAGCAAACCGTCAATCCCCTCAAAAGTAACATTCTTGAAATAACAAACAATCTTCATTGTGTAAATTGGGATTGTTTAAAAAAATGTTTACAATGCTGCCCATTTTTACCTTTAAAAAGGGCAATGAGTAACTTTAAATGTGTTGCTTCCAAGGATTAGGCATTTTGAGAAGGCAAGTGGCCAGAAGAGTGGCTGTTAAGGAGCTACTCCCTCTCTGTTGCTCTGCCACTAAAATGTGGCACATGAGAATCTACTCAATATTTAATCTAACATTAAATAAACGAAAACTTCAATGAAAAGACAAAGAGCTATGTGTGTCGTGTGTAGTCTGGTCTAATGGCAACTTTATGTGTCGGCGCACTTTGGTCACTGCACTGCTTTCTTGCTTTTTGGATGCACAAGGGAGGAGGAGGGCTGTTGCTTTTCTGTTTTAGTAGCTCTGATCTGGGCTCAGTGCCAGAGAAGAGATGGAACATTCTCAGCAGGAGATTTCTAGGGAACTGCCACTGCACAGGAACAGAGAGTGTTCTTCAGCTTAAAGGCCAACATGCGGTGAAATCCTGTGGAGACACAACTAACTAGTACATTAACAACGGTTCCTAGAATTCAGGGAAATGGGGGCAGGAGGTGTATTATGGATTTCAGATTTAACTCCAAATCCTCCTAATTATCAAACCCCTTCATTCAGGGGAATACATTCATATATCCCTTTCTATCCAGCGTGATAACACAACTGAAAGACAACTAATCATCTGGAGCAAAAAAAATTGTATATTTTTTGGAAGTATTTTATACTGGATATTAAAAACATAGTGAATATGGCATGTTTTTGTTTATTTACATTTCAATAATGACAGCAATGATGTAAATAACTGCTTTCCCTTTTATGACAACCCAGATCTGCTGCCTAGGGCAGCCACCTCATTCTTCCTCAAGGTAAGGGAAATCCTGAAAGGAACATCATTTTGTTATCTCGCTCATACAAGGGAACTCAAAACAGTGACATGCAGGAACCTTTACAGAAGGGACAATGCACTCCACAGACAAACATGGACCCTGAATTTAAATTTTGTTATTGCAGTTGAGGTTGCAAGGATAACATATCTCATCGAAGCAAGAGTAAAAGACAAGCTTCCCAAGTACTGTACAGACCATCCTGAGCACCCCACACCCTACAGGTACTCCAGCAGTCCCTATAAGTGAAAAAATGTACATTGCCCCTTCCCTTGCTTACAAGTGTATGAAGTCAGCATATCATAGTGTGAGAAGGAGAGGAGGTGCTTTTGTGCTGCTCCCATATCCCCATCTAATGTCTCTCTGTGTGTTTTTGTGTAGATCTTGGAAGTACAGTGGTGCCTCGCATAGCGAGGTTAATCCGTTCCGGATTAACCTTCGCTATGCTGAAGCATCGTTAAACGGTACAGAAAAGCCCATTAGAACGCATTAAACATGGTTTAATGCGTTCCAAATGGGCCAAATACTCACCGTTTAACGAAGCTTCGTAATGGCCGGCAGCCATTTTCGCGCCCTCGCCTCGCTTAACGAGGGCGCGAAAACGCTGCGGGCGGCCATTTTAGGCCATTTCCCGGCTTCCAGCTGATCGGCGGGGGTCGTTTTGCGAAGATCGGTAAGCGAAATGCTTACCGGTCTTCGCAAAGCGAATTTTTCCCTATGGGAAAAACGTTGTGCGATCGCATTAGCGATCCAAAAAAACGGATCGCTATGCGATGTAATCATTATACGGTGCGCTCGTTAAGCGAGGCACCACTGTACTTGTTCAAGACTTTGTTACTGTAAAGAAAAGCATGCTGCTTATATACTGCCCCACAGGACTTAAAGCAGTCTCTGGGTGGTTTACAAGTTAATTATTCAGGCTACACATTACCCTCCCACACACACACCAGTAACCTGGGTACTCAATTTACCTACCTTAGAAAGATGGAAGGCTGAGTGAACCTTGAGCCAGCTACCTGGTATTGAACCCTGAGTTATGGGCAGAATTTTGGCTGCAGTACAGCAGTTTAACCACTGCGCCACGAGGCTCAGTAAGTAAGATGCAACTATGCTATATTATGATTAAAACATATTGTGAGCTTAGAAAAAGTTAATTTCTGCAGCTGCTGGCCCTAGGGTCTCTCCGATAATATAGCTACAGTATGTGCTAACCGAGGGTTGTAGGAGGTCTAGTCAAAAGGTAAACTCTGACTATAACAAGGAACATTGCTTCTCTTGTAGCTATTTTACTTTCTTTTGAAGCCATAATGGTGTTTTGGTGCCAGAAACTTGTGTGCATGTGTATTTGTCTATGCGTACCAAGGGGAGAAAAAAACATCTTATTTACTTTTGAACAAGTAAATTACAGCTATACATGTAACTAATTTTGAGCCCCCAAGTTGTAATGGTAACATAGTTCTCTTTTTTAAAAAGTAACTTTCTAAATATTAATCATGCAAGTTACTTGTGCTCTGGGTGTGACCGACATGCACCAGGCAGAAGGGGAATGTTAGTTGATGGTATGTGGACTTTTGTACCTTTAATGCCTCACTATACTGCAAGGTCAGAAGACCAGCAGTCGTAAGATCGAATCCACGCAACGGAGTGAGCTCCCGTCGCTTTGACCCAGGTCCTGCCAACCTAGCAGTTCAAAAGCATGTAAAACGTGAGTAGATAAATAGGTATCACCTTGGTGGGAAGGTAACGGTGTTCCGTGTCTAGTTGCGCTGGCTACGTGACCACAAAAAAACTGTCTAGGGACAAATGCTGGCCCTGTGGCTTGGAAACGGGGATGAGCACTGTGGCCTGGACACAACTGCTCTAAATGTCAAGGGGAACCTTTACCTATACAGTACTGCATGCACATATAGGTGGACAGAAGATAGTAAAGAGGACTCCCTTCCTTCCTTCCAGGATTATCTGTGGGCAGGCAGAATAAATGGATCACGATTCATGTGTAGAACTTTTTTTAAAAAAAACAACAACACTTTTTCAGATGACAGTTCCCCCAAACCTTGGCTGTGCCACTAGGTGCCTGTGTATGCTTCAGGTAACATTTTAATGGTCACGTACATCCTACTGTTCATGAAAAGGTGATCCCTTTTTATTTCAGTGCTAAGATGGCTCTAGCATCAGTGCACCACTGGAAGAATCCTGTGTTATGTAAGCTGCCATGTTTACCATAATAACCCTGAGGAATGATCTCTTGATTCTGATCTAATGAGTTTAATCAGTCTTCAGTGGCTCCAGGAAAGACACTGGAACTATACAGCTGTTACACCAGTGTAACTGAGGGTCAGGATCTTTCATTGAATCAAACCTGATTCTATTTGTGAGTACTGATATGTTTCTTGGCTGATTTCCTTTTAGTGTGCTGTTGGGAGCATAGCTTTATTGGATTTTTATGATTGGTTTTAACTACTGTTAGCTTCCCTGAGTGATGTGTAAGCATTAGAAGAGTGCAATATACACTTTTTCTATAAACAGATGTAATATAAATAAACTGAGAATCCCATGATTGAATCAGGCAGGATTCATGTTGAAGTAAAACCTGATTATTGCAGTTCTGTTTCAGTCCTGTAGCTGTGACAATTGAATATGAATCTCGTAACTGCAGTGTATAGTAAGTAACTGTGATCACTAAGCAATACACTAAGGCATATTGAGAGGTGGGATTCCTGAACCAAGAGGAAGCATTGCAGCCATGTCTCCTGCCTTTACCAGAGCAATGATGCATTCTGCAGCCTCTCTTTTTTTATATGGTTCCTTGTGAGACTCC